ATAGAGGCAAGGGACGCGACTGACGCGCTAATTGTAATCGACAATTAGCTACAACGAATCAGACTATCTAGAGCTGTGATCAGCTCAATTTTTAGAGCCATACATTAGCGTTGTAGTCGTATACAGCAGTTCGACGACGAGGTGATCAATTCGGCTTGTGCGGCGCTTCCAGGGGTGCGGCGCTTCAGGGTACTTCAGCTTAATAGACGAGATTTTTTTTTGTCACCTCTGATGATGATCTTCATGTGTCGCCTTGGTCGAACTTGTAGATATTTCCATGTGGATGTATTGTGCGTTCTACTTTCCATTGTGAATTAGCAACTTGTACGAACTTTCTCATGCACAGCAGCGTGTCATGTTTGTATGAGGATCTCGGTGGTCGACATGAGATGGGGGCTTCAAACGTAAGAGTAAAAGAGAGAACAACACAGATCTTTTAACCTTGTTGAAAACTGACAAGTGCTAGGGAAACAAATAACACGACGATATATGGGCAGAGTAGCAACACTATACTTGGCATTTCTTTTTTTCTTCCATTTTTAATATTTTCGAAATGCCAAAAAACGCTTACCAGACCATACCGCGGTAAGACGGGGGGATTCTTAGATTATCACCAAATCAACTTTCCCATCAACAGTGCATCAACCATCTCCCCACTTTTCACTTGCCCATCTCCAGCGGGTAAACACAGTAATGCATTTGCACCTTTGAAGCTTCCTATCCTCGAACTTCTCTGTCCTCCTGTGCTCACGGCGTGTAAATATCCATCAGTCCCAGCTTTGACAATAGCGCGATGGAATTCATCTCTCTGCTTGTCGAGTCTTGTGTTTGCATCCACGATGACCTTGACTTTTACACAACCCCTTGGTTCCACACCGGCGAGTTTGTGCAATGCCGGCAACACGAAGAGATGATAGGTAACTACACAACTGGCAGGGTTTCCGGGGAGTGAGAAGATGACTTTTGTGACTCTTTCGCCGGTGTTGGACTTGGCGGGGATGGTGGCGAAGGTGGTGGGTTTACCGGGTTTCATGGCTACACGGCCGAAGTGGATGGTGCCGCCGAGGGAGCGCTCGATTGTTGGTTTCAGGAGGTCGAGTTCTCCCATGCTGACACCGCCGGAGGTTATTATGACGTCGACGCGTCGGGTTGCGTCGCGCAGGCTTTGTTCGAGTGCGTCTGGTCTGGAAAATTACGCGAAAAATTAGTTACATGTGAGAGAATAAAAGCGGGAAAAGAGGAAAAAGGGGGGAAAAGAAAAGCACTTACTTGTCAGATACGATACCTAGGTCTACGGCTTCGAAGCCGGAGGCGCGGATGGAGGTCAAGAGGGTGGGACGATTTGTATCCCTTACTTCTCCTCTTCTTAGGTCGCCTTTTCTGTCGTGGTTTACGATTTCGTCGCCTGTGCTTAGGACGCCGATGATGGGCTTTTTGTACACGAGGACTTCTTTGACGCCGACAGAGGCCAGAAGACCAAGTTCTCCACCAACCACAGAGATACCTTCGCCTGCTCGCATAATCACATCTCCGGCTTGAACATCCGAGCCTACTTCTCGCACGTTCTCACCAACTTCGATTGCGTCAGTCAGTATCTCGATTTCCTTTTCCTCTGTACCGTCGTCTGTCATGGATACCAGTTTTGTGTCTTCGACCATGACTACAGAAGTAGCTCCGGGAGGCAAAGGCGCACCAGTAGTGATTCTAGCGATTTGTCCATTTTGCAACTCTGCGGGTTCGCCAGCTTGAGCGTGAGAGATCATGGCGACGGGGAATGTTCCCTTTGTGCTAGGGGCATCGGGCCCAGCGACAACGGCATAGCCATCTACAATGCTGGCGCGGAAAGCAGGGACAGATTCCTGTGCTGTAACGTCTTCTGCCAGTACATGGCCGACGAGAGCTTCATTGACAGCAAGTTTGATAGTCGTTGGTTCGGGTGTGTGGTTGGCGATTTGTTGGAGAGCGTCCTTGACAGACAGCATAGGGTAGGGCGATTGTCTATATCTCCTACTCGGACCTTGAGAAGGATCATTAGACTGTTGCGCTTGCTCTTCCTGTGCCGTATGAGCTTTGGGACCATGATGCCCTCCATGTCCATGATCTCTCCCACAACCATGACCATGACCATGACCATGACCGTGTGAATGCCCACCGCCACTTGAAGCTTTCACACCAGCTTCCTCTTCCAACTTTTCAGTCCCACCTTTATGCATCTGTCTCGAATCACCACCACTAGCCTGCAAACAAGCATGAGACAGCAATTTAAACACGGCTTCCAAATTCTCCTTTGCCCCCTTCGGACTCCCCGGCAGTGTAATGATCAGCGATTTGCCTCTAACACCACACACAGGTCTACTCATCACCGCAAAGGGAGTAACTTTGAGACTCTCCGCCAACATACCATGCACCAACCCCGGAGCATGTTTCTCAATCAACGGCGACACGGCTTCTGGCGTTACATCCTTGACCGCAAACCCCGTGCCACCAGACGTGATGATGAGATTTACATCCTCGGCAACTGCTGTAAGGACTGCGGCTTGGATCTTTGGGATCGAGTCGGGGATTATGCATGTAGAGGTGATGGACCAGTTGTCAGAGCCGAGGTCGGAGATTACTTTTGTGAGGGCGGGGATGCATTGATCTGTTGACGGGTCTCGAGATGCGGTCTCTGAGATTACCAGGATGGAAATCGTGAGTTTGGGTTGGGTAGCCATTGTTTTTTCTTTGCCGTTGGTCGTCGTTATCGTCGTTGATGAACGACAGCGATGATTGACGTTGTGGAGTCGAGGTTGGGGAAGCGGAAGCCCGATGTGCGGAGATGCTCGAGTATCAACAAGTCGATTACTCAGACATGTCGTAAGGATCACAATTCGATGAGAAGACATCATCTCGCTTGATTCTCACATCAAACAAGGCGATAAAAGTCAATGTAGATAAGTTTTCAATCATTTGCTATACAAGGTCTATACACGGTGGTCATATTTCATGTTCCACGATTCAGATGCTTTAGGAAGACACAACATCGCTACCCATTTGCTTCGCTCCAGACGCCTACTAATGCTGGCGTAACCTTATTGCGATGTTCATCCATGACAGACAAGTTCTGGATAGCCCTTCTTTGGATTTTGTTGCAGACTTCGTTTCATTACCACTCTTTCCCTGCCTTCTCTCTGACACCGCGTTCCAAAAACATGGATGGATTAGTGGAAATCGGCAGCGGGTCCGGAGAGCAAAAGACCAATGATGAGACCGAAGAGTCCGAGAACGGAACTGAAAATCTCAATGACGAGAATCTTGACGAAGCTGTGTTGTGTCAGTATGAACTTGTGGATGTGCAGTACAGGGCGCAATAGGACGTACAGGCTGGGATCAGCAGCATCGGCAAGAGCAGCACTACTACCGTTGATACCAACAGAAACACCGCAAACCAGATTGCAGGCGCCGACCAAGAGACCAGACCAAAACAGAGCGAAACCAGTGTAGTAGTTGCTGCCCGATCTTGCTGCATCAGAGCCAACCGATGAAATCTTCGCCGAGAAGACGATAGACATGATGACACCGTAGATGGCGACGACTTCGCAGAAAATGATGGAGATCAGGTTCTTTGTTCGGATTCTGGGAGCCTTGACACCACCACCGAGGATCGAGGCACCGGTAATGAAAATACCCCTGTATTGTGTTGTCTCAGTGTTTCATTCTTTCTTTGATGTTCCTGTTGGAGATGTCATGTACTGACCAGGCAGCTCCGACGACCGAGAGACCGATGCAGAGGGCGATACCAGTGCTAGCCCATGCGTGGGGCGAAATGCTGAGAAGGAAGTCTCCAACCTGGGATGCTCGTCAGTCGTAAATCCGAAGGCGCTTATGATGAGAAGGTACACACGTTGAATGCTTCACCCTCGCCATTGAACAGCATGTCTACCGCCTGATTAGCTTTGGATGCATCGCGTCCAGATGTCGGCTTCAAGCGTACAGAGTCCGATGACAGTCAGGGCGGTTGTTGCGCCATAGACGCCGTATGTGAGACCACCCATGTTGATTGATCGAGGACTGCGCAGTCGTCGTTGAGAGAATCAGGCCGAATAAACAAGATCCCGCGTCCCTTCAGTCTGCCAGCAACGGAGGTGACGCTTCGGGCAACCTTAGACCTACGATGATGCGCTGCGGTAATCTCCGTCAGCTCCGCCACGTGATATGAGTTGCATCATTCGAGTCTTGATCAACAATCTCGACCTCTACGAAGATGGAGAATGTACAAGGAAGAAGGCTTACTGTCAGACTATATCGATCATCATATATGCGCATGTGTTCAATTGATTGTACAAGAAGAAGGCAGTCGCGCGCCGCCCAAGCAAAAAGAGCCTCAACCTTGGCACTCCCGCATCCTCATCAAGGTCCTGCCATCAGATACGTGAACACTGCCTATTGATATACTTCGTCGCAAATAACAATGTCAACATCAACGCCCAAGTGGCTGCTCTTTGCAATCGCAAGTGGAGCATGCGCGGCTCTGAACGGTGTCTTTGCCAAACTGTGAGACACCAAGGGCTCAATTGCCATGTCCTTATTGCTCACAAGCACAGCACCACAACACATCTCACCACAGCATGGGCTGAATCGCTATCCCACATCTTCGGCTTGTCTGGCCCCAACAAGTTTTTCGAGTTTCTTGTTCGCGGTGTATGTACCGTTGTCAGGTGACGCAATCTGGACAAGCAGGAGTACTGACAAAGATCGACCAGCTGTTCTTCGTCCTCAATCTCGTCTTCAATGGCATCATGTGGGGGCTCTTCACACGCGCCCTTACCCTGGCAACGAGTACGACCCGTGTCAGTGTCATCAATACCTCGGCCAACTTCATGATCACTGCCGTCATGGGCTTCTTCATCTTCTCCGAGACCTTGCCTGGATTGTGGTTGCTGGGAGCCGCTATGCTGGTTGCCGGAAGTGTCATCATTGGAAGAAGAGAAGAGGGAAAAGATACGGGCAGTGCGGGAACTGCAGGTGCTGAGCCGACTGTGCTTGCGTCAGACACTTCGGACAACACACCATTCGCCGATGAGCCAGATGCCCCGCTGGTTGGGGATGACGAGGATCAAGGCTTCAAGGACACACATAGCACACATGAGTTGGAAAACACAGATAGAGTGTGGTCGACTTGATGTTGGAATTGCAGGAACATGATGTACATCAGACTCAGAAGAAGGCTGAAAGCGCCCTTTCCAGAACATCCCTCGCTATGAAGGTTGAAAGCTCAAAGAAACAAAGGTAAAGCAGAAATAAGTACATTGAAGGTATCACACTCCGACGGATGAGAGGTATTTGGGGTATAAAGGCATGGAGGATTATTGTTCGAGTCGTTCGTCGTTATTCGGCATGTTTCAAGCAGCTTAGTCGTGTGATTGGACCTTGTTGTTTCCCTTGACGGCCTCTGCATATGTGGGTGGGTTTGCAGCGTCATCTCTCTTTGACGCACTAGGCATCTGCTGATCCTGGCGGTATTGCTGAGGGTTTGAGCCCTCGGCCTGGTTGCCAGGGGCGATGGTGCCGTAGCCAGGGCCTCTCGAACTGCTGACCGAAGGACGATGGCTTTGTTGGACGTAGTAGTATGTCACACGGCCACCTTCGGGTTCTTGGTCGACGGCCTCATAGGTGGGGTCGGGGTAGCGCGAGATGATGTACCAGGCATGGATGAGACCAGGGAAGAAGCCCAAACAGCAGAGGGCGATGTTGATGAGGGAGTCGGCCGAGCAGAGACCACGCTTCACCCATACTGCAAGTCCAGTCAGCAAATGTGAATCATCAAGACTTCACCCTCCAACTACTCGCTTGGTCCATGCTGCACCAGTGGCTGCGCGGGTCGTGTGGAGAAGGGGGGTTCGGGGTCGTCACTCACCAGCGATGGGCGGGAAGAGAATGGCGAGGAAGCCCAAGAAGATGTCGCTGCCGCACATGTTGAGAGATTTGTGTGATTCTAGAGTGTTGATATGTTGCTTGTGGCTAGGGAGAGGGGGGTTAGAGATGATTGAAAGCGGTTGCCTCGTCGCTAAAAGCCCTCACGCCGACCGATGACGCGAGAACGGCTAGCGTCTGAGCCTCAGCCTCCAACATGACTGGCATGCGCCACACTTCCTTGCTGAAACCATCGCCATAGAATCTTCCTCGCCTTCATGGAATGCTCAGGATGTGATTATGAATTTTGACACAGAAGAGAAGAGTCAGTTCGGTGATTTTATTCATTGCATGTGCTGACATGTTGTCATCCCGCGAGCTTTGCGTCTGTGTGCAATCAGAGAACACAGCTTCTATCACCGCGCTCCTGTATGACAAGACAATTGAGGCGGTATGATAAGCCTTAACGATCTCAGTCTGTGGCCATCTCAAACCACGGCCTATTCCTCTTTCAAACCGCTGGTACAGTTCCTGTCGGTACCTGAGGGACATCCTTGACCAAAGCCATGTGCTTTCATCAGATGCCATGCAAACATGTGCTTGCAGATAGCAACGAGAATCGGTTAAATTGCTAGATCCTCCGATGAAACGATTCCACCCAATAGTTGCAGCCTGACTGGCGACTCGCTGCCCCAGAGAAAGCAGTGAGGCTGTCTTGTCCACCCACTTTTCCCCTCTTTCCCATCTCCGCAAGCCCCGGATATCCGTGGCACCTTGCTCCTTTCCTCGGTTGCCGAAGCCGATCTCTCGTTTTGTCCATGCTTGATGATGATGCGCCTTTCCAGCTCTCACTGATAAGAAAAGGACATGCTGTTCCTGATCACCTTTTTGTCTCGTTGTAACTTGCACCAAAAGCCGAGATTGATTGATACATGATGAATGCTTTGAGGCGTCAAGTGTATGCTGTGAATGCACCTATACAACGATGTTTCTCGACTTCTAGCCAAAGGCACGCGACCTATGGCTTCATCGGCTTGGGTCAAATGGGTGTGTTTCGACTATCAGATCTTCTGCCTCAGCTCTGTCTAATCACACTCAGGCTACCGAATGGCTCAAAATCTACGAGCCAATCTACCGGGTTCCGATAAGCTCATTGTTCATGATGTGAACAGTCAGGCGACAGCTCAATTCGCAAAGGACAACGCCAATGTGGAAGTCGCAGAGGATGTGAGAGATGTGGCAGAGAAATCAGTAAGCTCGCTCTCGATCCCAATATCATGCAACTCGTCTCCAGCAGGAAATTTCGAAGATGCGCTGATAGAATCACCAGTGGAACACTCAAAGGTGCTAACAGAAATTCAGGAAACGATCATCACAGCACTTCCAGGACCATCACATGTGCAAAATGTCTTCAAATCAATGTTGAAACCACCAACACTACTTCGCGACGGCGTGGACCAGGAACGTCTCTTCATCGACTGCTCGACTATCGACCCTCTGTCTTCTGCCGATGTTGCAAATGCCGCTCACTCAACCGGTCAAGGCAAATTCATCGACGCCCCAATGTCCGGTGGTATTGTCGGTGCACAAGCGGGAAAGCTTACCTTTATGATCGGAGCACCACCAGAACTCGTCGATCGCGCAACTGAGATTCTTCTCATGATGGGCAAGCGCGTCCTCCATCTCGGCCCTCAAACCTCTGGTCTGAAAGGCAAACTCGCAAATAACTATCTCCTTGCTCTCAACAACATTGCTACCGCCGAAGCCATGAATATGGGTGTTCGATGGGGGTTGGACGCCTCTGCTCTCGCCGACATGATCAACACGAGTACTGGAAAGTGCTGGCCTAGTGAAGTCAATAATCCCGTCCCTGGCGTTCTCCCTGATGCTCCTGCCAGCAAAGAATACGCAGGCGGGTTTGGCACTGCTTTGATGAACAAGGATTTGAAACTGGCCATGCATGCTGCACAGCAATTCGGCATTGAGCCTCGACTGGGACCCATGGCTGCATCGATCTATGCAGCAATAGAGGGAAATGCGAAGTACAAGGGTAAAGACTTTTCAGTGGTTTACAAGTACCTTCGTGGAGAATAGACGGGTTTTTTTTTGTTTCTCTGGACGGCAAAGAGCGTGTACATGCTGAATGACTAGCTAGATATGTAGACTTTTTTTTCGAAATTTTCTACCTTGCTTTATAGGTGCTGGTCCAACTTGTTCTCATTGTCATATGGCACTCCAAGCGTACGACTGACCAAGCTGCGAAGTAGCAAGCAATACGACACGGAAAAAGATCTCAATGAAGCAACAATTTCGTCAGGGAGCATCACCATTTTGTGCAACCTGTATTTAATTAGCACGATTTTTTTTTTGCAAGCAGAAGATACAGAGAAGGGACTATTTACTTCATTGTAGGTCAGAAAGCTCGGGGGCCTAGGATGCGATAGCTGCAATTATGTGCTTTTTTTTGGTCAACATACCTATAAACCAACTCGGCCTTAGCACACAATACTCCAATCCCTCCTCATGCAATTTCTGCCACATATCGCCATGATACGGTCCCCCATCTCCGCCGTACTGTCAGAGCATAACACAAACCTCTTAACTCCCTTCTCCTTTGCAAAATCTATGAATTTGTTGATCTCACTTGATGGATCGGAGAGTTCTCCACTGGTCAGGTAGACGGCTGAGATTATCGAGTGAATAAAGGTAGCAGACCATGTTATGCTGTCATCCCAGTCGAACTTTACGGTCGGGAAGGAGGAGGCAGAAGGGCCGCGGCGTGAGGTTGAAAGGAAAGGAATATTGGCGTGTTGAAGTAGAGCAGCGAGGCGAAGGGTCGTTTTGCCTGTGCCGCCGGTGAGCAGGATGGTCATGTTTGTCAAGTAGATGCGAGTTTGCTGTTTGCTGCTTTGCGAGAGATGGTAAGAGTAGTGATGAAGGCAAGCAATGCAGAAGTCAAGAGAGAGTCGAGACGGCCTGGCTTTATATATGAGCGAGAAGGATTGTTCCTGGCTTGTCTGTAAGCGAGGAGGATGTTGCTGGCTAATCGCCGACCTAATAGCCTTGTTCTCCGAAACTCAGGTCTTGATGCTGCTTCATCCCTTAAGCTGGTTAATTGACCAGTCAAGCAGGAGAGGGTATACAAAGAACGTTATGTCCGGGCAAGAAGTTGTGTGAGACACAGTCATCTAGTATGTTGTATGTTCGTCGGAGATATCCAAGCAGCATCAGGCAAGCCTTATGACCGAACGCTTCTACTATCTCCGGACCATATGAGTAAAGTGGGCACCAGACAACATTTCTGTTATCAACTCCGGCACTCTTATTAACTTTAGGAGCATTCTCAGTCACAAAAGGGAACAGTATGCTGCACACCTGGTGATTACCTCATAGCCATGAGTTATCCCAAAATCCACGAGTGAGGCCTAACCGGCAACACTGGTGAACGTTGTCAAAGGCGCGGTACCTTATATCGTGATACGTTGGATGTTGTACGGTTTTTCGTTGAAAGACAACTGACTCCTCCATGCGTCGGTACTTATGACGGCGGCTGTGCTCTGATCGTGTGGATTTTTTAATGGCGGGAGCCTCCAAGGACAAAGGTTTTCTTTTCTGGTGTCCATCAAAAAGCGAATGTCCGTAAGCATGTGGTACAAGAATTGAGAAATGGTTATTTGCAGGAAATGGGGGCCCATCTCAAGAAGGCTAGCCGAGCGTAAGGAACTGCCATCTTTATCAAGGTCCAGACAGAAAAATGCCTTGTGTGTGAATTTCGAGAATTGAGGTGTGAGCGAACAAAGGTTCCCGTGTTTCAGACAAGTGAGGTCAGTGACGACCGAGCCCGAGAGTCTGCAAGAAAGCCATCTAAGACTAGAATGAAGATCTGTTACGTAGAAAATTACCTCGTTGCTGACATCCGGAATTTGGATGGGGCGAAAGAGTAAGGCCAAGTCTGTCCATCTTCTACACAAAGCGATATCTATCGCGTCGATGCGTCCCACTCCCGACCGTGGAGTACCCATCTGATCCAGCCAGAGAAAAGTATTGAGACGTGTTCCGTTCATGACGAGAGCAGTGGCAAGTGCTGGATCTGACTTCTCCAGAGCAAAGAACAACGCTGGGTACCGTTGACCATCACCATCCTTCCTCGATCGGCCAACTACAGCATCCGCCTCAAAAAGTCTACTATCTAGATTCACTCTGCAATCAACGAGGATAGAGACAGCGGCCGCGAGATCGTGCTTGATGACCCATCCAAGGACCGTCTCACGACAGCTCGGAAGAAGAGTGGTCATTCTCTGCAGCACACGGCTCATGACTTCCAGACTGAACCCACCTATCTCAATGGCAACCAGCAGAGTGTCAACAGTTTCGGTATCCCAGAATTCTTTGCGGGTCAATTTTGTCACTAGGTCAATCGTTGCTAGCGAGCCAGCAATTATGGCGATGTGCAATGGAGTACGACCATCGTTCCCTTTCGAGAGAATCAGACTTGGATCGCTCTGCACCAAGAAGTCGACGATCGCTGACTGGTCTTGCTCGGCGGCATAGTGAATCTCGCCCCTACCTGTTCTTGGACAAGGCATAGGTCGAGACAGACCCTCGATGGCTTTCAATCTGATCAAAACCTGGAGATGACCTCGCTTCGCGGCCAGATGACAAGGAAGCATTTCATCGTAGTCCGACAAAGGCGCCGACATTTTTGGTCGGCACAAAGTCACACCTAGATCTAGCATCCCGAGATGCCCTTGATAGACAGCCCAGCTGAAAGCTTTGGTACCGAGGTTCTTGATCTTCCCTGCGATCCAGGGCATGAGTTTCGGGTCTTTCTGCCAGTTTTCAGTCACGAGTTTTTCGAAATCTGGCCAGATCGTGGAATTCCTATCAACCTTGTGACTCAAAGATACCCAGTTCGTCCTCGCATAGGTATAGAAGAGCCTCGTTTCAGAAACACTGACCTTGTCTGAGATAGCGAGCCTTAATCGAATCTGGTCGCTGTCCTTTAAAACTGGAGGTGCTTTTCGCCAAGCCAACGACGGTTTCTTGAGATACTTTATCGCCCGATGAGGTGCGATGATCGCATTGTTCATGTACGACATGGTGGAGAACGGCACGTTGACGGTAGTTTCTTCCCCCGGAGACTTTTGTCCGGATCTCGCGACCGTAGTGCTAGCATGCCATATGAGATGGATGATACACATGTCAACAAGATTCAGCGTGGCATCATGCCAAATAGGTAGAGTCAAATATCCGGGTATGTTCGCCTCGGGGTGGTGGAGGTATGTTCTTACGGAGTGATGAGCCGGAGTCACCAGCCGATCCACTGTATCGTAGACAATCAGATTCGCCCCAGACTGTAAGATTATGGAACTGGGCGGTATGTCATCCTCATGTAACCTGCCAGTCTCGGGGTCTATTGCAAGAGCCTCTCCCAGGGCATCGATGACCATGGGACTGTTGGCTTCGCAGACGTACCGGAGCACACGTAGAGAGAATTGCTGCTGCTTTTTCTGGACCCGTCGTAGACATCGTTCGTATGTTTCGTTCAGCGTTTTGGGCAGTGCTGATAGTGCGATAACAATTTGGGCGTCGGTAGTACACGTATCCCATAAGACATCGATCTGGAGACGAGCCCAAAGAAACCTGCCTCGTGCGTTAGCTGAAAGTAAGTCGAACACCGCTTGGCACAGCCATCGTAATATTGTTCCCGAAAGGCTGGTCTCGGATAAGGCTTGCGTACATTTCTTTGGCCTGGTCGGTCAGTGCTCGCCTGATCCTTTCAATGGTTTCAGGTTTATCCGATATTGATCCGTCTTCTGCGGTCTTCTTCCTGATATATTCTGTAACAAACTTCGCCACATCATCATGATAGCCAGCACGTGGTACCTCAAGACGCGATGAGCCGATAATTCGCCTATCAACTTCCAGTTCGTCCCTTCCACAGACGATGGCCGTTATCCGGGGATCTTCAAGCAGACCTGACAAGAGTGAAAGAGCACGTTTGTACTCCTCCATTGGACACAGGTCAAGCCCATCAACGACGAGGAAAACTCGTCCAATCTCTTGAAGTATTGGTTCCAGGACCAGATTCACAAGCTCAGTGCAGTCGATGTTGCATGTAAATGTACCGAACATGCGCTTGATGGCAGAGGTGACAGGCAAGGGCGGTCGTTTATGCATCCTATGTATGTGTCTGAGAAGCTGTTTTATATAGCTGCGGAGAAGGTCTTCGGTAGTCAGCATGTCATGCTTATCAGGATCGAAGTAGAAATGGACGACAGGTTCTTTGGATCGCTCAAAAAGGAACTCGATCGCGGTATTTCTGTTATTTTTAGTACTCAATTTGTGCCGATCGAGTTCAACTCACGCCAAGAACGTCTTCCCGCAACCCACTGTAGATGCATTAGTAGTGGTTGATGGCCATGTGGGATGTTCTCACCTGTTCCAGATATCCACAGGCAGTTGGACTTGCCAGAACTTTTCTCAGCTCGGTGATCCAGCCATGTAGAGATCTCTCTTGTAAGCCATTGAGTAGTACCTTCAGTTTTCTGCATCTTGATCTTGTGATGAACGCGTTCCGATTGATACCTAGATATTTGGTTTATCAGACTTTGAGAACTGGCCTCTGCTGAGTCAGCCTACTAGAAGCTTGTCGAGTAACCGTGCTCACCATGATTGACCAGCTGCCAACACGGGTCTTGACTCAATTCATAGTAATCTTGGTCTTCGTCTTGGTTGACTCGGTCAATGATCTGTAAAGCGCTATTTGGGGCTTGAGAAAGTGGCACAACTGTTGATTGAAACGTGAGTGGTGACACAAGCTTGTTTACATGAAGTCTGACGTACGTTGACGTTCGCCCAATCGTTCCACACACCTTCGGATCTCGCTTTGCACAGCTTCTGTCTGCAAATGACTGAGTGTCATGGACTTGATAGCACCGAGCTGTTCTGTCTCTGCTAGATCTATGTCGCCTAATCCGCGGGGAACGTTGAACCGAAAGCAGATATTTCTATCAAATAGGTCGGAATTGTCTCGATGAAAGCGGTTGGCAGTGGCTTCGGTCTCACTCGCAATGTTTAGCAGCATGTTTGCGGTGCCCAAAACCGATTCTACAACAGGCTTGAATCCAGGTTGACCGGTACCGATGGAGATCAAACATCCTAGGTTATCTGACAAGCGCTGCCCATGTGACAGAAGATCAGTTGCTTCACCCCAGAGATCATGGACAGGGTTGTTGGCGCCTGTACCTCCATCGAGGTAACGCTGCTTGGGGACGCCAATGCTGATAGGGTCAAAATAGGTGGAAGCCGCTGAGGTGGCGCGAGCAGCTTCCCAGATACGAACAGTCTGGTACAAGTCTTCATCTCCTCTTATGGTGTTCCAGCTTCGAAGCAGGGAAGTCTCTGAAGTCTCTCCACTGGTACAGCAGACGAAACTTCGGTAACGTCAGTCGCTGCGTCAATCAAGAGGCGACACTACTTACACCTTGGTTCCGGTCAGATCCTGGAGAAGAGCCTCCTCATCCATGTTGCGATCTCGTAGTACTTTTTTTACAGCTAGCTCGAGCGCTTTACTGTCGTATCGCTCCTTGATATTCCCTCTAATGCCAAAAGGTATCTGCCTTTTTGGATGAAACACTTCTTTGGAGAGCTCCATGTAAGCTCTAATGCATTCGTCGACACTCATGCTGAGGCGGCCGAGCATAATGGCGATGAGTCTTTGCTGCGTCAGCATCACAGAATTAATTATTGTCGGAGATAGGCTTACCCGCCAGTACTTGTCCCTCCGATCATGTCGAAATAATCGCAAGGCTTGGGCGGATTGTGTAGGTCAATCGCAGCCATGATGCGTTTGAGAATATACAAAGTCGAGAGCCCCCGGACGCCGCCGCCATCGAGACTAAGGAGATTGAGACTTTGACCAGGCATTCTCAGGTTTAAAGAACGGAGGCAGCAGGATGTCTGAGCAGTTTAGCTCTACACATGGACGAAGCGGCGCTTATCAGTAATGAGCTCACACGGGCGCTCGCGCTCTCGAACAGACTTCATGCAAGCCAACATATTATTACGCAGTGCCATTGGTGCAGGCTACAGGGGTGGTAGCGCGACGAAGCTGACCGCATGACGCGCCACATATGATGGTCTGAGCGGTGTTAAAGAGACTGGGCTCAATACATGTGTCGTTGCGCAGGGAAGGGTGGAAGCTGAAGTTTTTTTGTGGCGCCGCCCGCAGCTCGCATACACAATAGGCAGAGAGGCCAGCGAATTCGGGAAAGAGCGGTCCAAGATTATTGCGTTCCAGCTGGAGTCGCTTGCAGATGGCGTACTTGGATGCCGTCAATACTTGGAACATATCTTGGCGCTAATTCTCGTGGGCTTCACGTTGGCATCACGAACCGAATTCTTTGTCAACGGTGAATGCTACCAATCAATGGTTACCCTACCCTCATATCGAGCACTTCAACTAGACTAGTAATACTGCAGTCTCTCCTCCGTCCACCCAGGTCTGAGATAAGTCGAACTGAACCCAACATCAAAGCCAGAAGAATGGACGCCAAGAACACTGACACTGACATCAACACCAGCTTCTACTTCATCCTGCGACCAGATGGACAGTCCAATAGTATTGTTACCGTGGTAATCCAATATGCCAGGGAAAACAGGGAATTCAACCTGATTACCGATGTAAGGCACGAATTTGCCGAACTGATAGCCATTGACGTAGAGTTGAGCTCTGAGCTTCGAACTCTTGGTTGCGTGAAGGTTGAATGCGAGGGATACATCATGGCCCTCAGGGAGATCAAGGGGAAGAATAGTGCGATAGAAGTTGGCGCCTGCTGTGCTGAGGCCAGTGGAAGGAGTGCCAGCAACCCACTTGCTGTCGTCGAAGCCAGGTAAATGCCAGCCGAGACGTTCAGCATGGAGACCACCTTCATTGTAAGGTCCACGGATAGGGTCGATATTGGCGCCTCCTCCAGCTTTTCCTGCTACTTTCCAGGAAGTGAACTTTGCACCGTCGGCAAGGGTGGCATTGAGGATACCACGAGGGTTTATGGCGCCGGTGGTTTGATCCTTGCCCATGTGATCTTGGATAATGAACAGAACGTTCTCGCCACTCTTTGCAGCATCGCCAAACTTGAGCGTCTGGTTGGTCTGCGAAAGCTTGATGTCGCCGAAAGTGGAGCCGACGAACTTGCCATTCAGATATGCAGACCAGCCACTACCGGTTCCGCCAATAATGTTCAGGAAAACGCCACTGCTAGTGCCGTTGAAGCGACCGCGCCAGAGAATGTTTCCACCATGGAAACCGTACTCATCAGCGTAAAGGATATGGTCTGTGGCAGGTTTGTTCCAGTGGGGAGTGGTAGTGTGGTTAGCGTTGACCCATTTGGAATCATCGTAACCAGCCTCACGCTCATGTAGCCCATCAGCAACCTTCCAGTGCGAGAGCTTGGGAAGCATAGCATCGAGGGACTTGACAGTGACTTTGTCCTCAGAAAGCTCGCCCTTAAGACTGCCGTAGTCAGAAGTCTTGACAGTAACACTCTCGCCATTGAAAGTGACCTTCTTGACGCCGGCGGCGAAGACTTCGAGAGGAGTAGTACCGTTGTAGTCGCCGATCAGAGCAAGAGTTTCACCGTGGACGGCAGCGGTGCGGACGAGATAAGGGCCAGTGACAATAGCAGTCTTGTCCAGCGGTACATGAGGGTCGTTGGTCAAGGTCGGGTGCCAAAGCTTGTAAGCGTGGGATCTGTCCACCACAATAGCAGTCACGCCGTTTCCATACTGGAAGACGCTCATACCAGAGCCTTGTGCAAAGCTAGTGATGACGCCATCCTTAGTTTGGTAAAATCCGACACTGGAGCAGCCCTCGCATTGCTTTACATTTCCATATTGAGCACCCCTAAGGTAGAACTCACCACTCTCGCCAGTGGGGACCCAGAAGACAATGATAGGCTTGCCATTCTGGATGGAAACAGCCAAGACTTCCGCGGTAGAGTAGACGATCTTCTGCTCTCCAGCATTGTAGTCTGAGACAAGAATCTTGGATTCTCTTCCATTGAGACGAATGTCAGCAGCATACTGAGGCACTTGGAAGTGTCCAAGAGAAGTCGTCATGTTTTGCTTGAAAGAGAGCGATGTCTGCAGTGTAGTGTTTGCATGTCTGACGACATAGAATTGGGCGTCGTTCTCCACATTGTATAGGACCTGGGTAAATACGCTGGAGCTGGTGGTGAGGTTGGTACCGTTAGTGCCTCTCTCAACTAGTGGGAGGTCCTTGGCGGATCTGATGAAGTAGCCGAGAAGTTTTGTCTCAGAGTACTTGTCACCAATGAGACGATCCTCTTGGATTGGCGCAGAGTAATCGTAGCTAGTGCCAACCAATGGGAAAGCCAGTTGACCAAAGTTTGTCCTGACGAAGTGTTGTCAGTATCAAAATCGGTGAAACGGGAGAAACAACGTACCCGCCATACAACATATACATGTTATGAGCAGTAACCTTGTTGGCAATGTTGTTCCTGTAGAACACATTCACCCAATCAGGTCCAGTATTGTTTCTGCAGCCACCAGCAGGACCATCCCAAGGGTTGTAAGATCCACCTTGGAACTCGGCAAAGAAAGAAGGATCACCCGGTGCAGTCTCCTGAAAGTGAGTGTAGTAATCAAGGACAGTAAAGTCAGGTGCTGGAGAGTTAGTCGAGCTGCATTCCTGGAGGTTGCAACTCCAGCAAGATGGGTAATTGTCTACTGCGTACAGCCAAGTGTCTCCACCCACATTGTTGATGTCGTAGTCCATTGACCAGGATTTGCTTCCCAGGTTTGGATTGTTGTGTACGGTAGGCATGTTGATACCAGTGTCGTTCGCGACTGTCTCTAGAAGTTCCATGTAGTGAATGGCGGTCTCGTTAGGGGTCCTGCGAGTAGTGTCTGTCCATTGATAACCATACTCATTCTCGACCTGGTAGAAGATGACGTTGCCGCCATTCACGATGGAGTGCTCAGCAATGATGCCGTTGACTGTCTCGATGTAAGGCTTCCAAGCTTCGGTATATCTGGTGTCGTTGTTACGGAGGGAGCCGTATGCTCCAGTTGTGACCCAGCCAGGGAAGCCACCTCCGGTACTTTCTGCGTTGATATACGGCCCTGGGCGATAAAAGATGTATAGACCAAGCGATTTGCATGTCTCGAACAAGCTGGAAATATTGTGGGCTCCTGACTCGAAGTCGACGATGCCATCTCGTGGAGCGTGGTATCCCCTGTCATCAATTAGTCGCGGTAAACAGCAGAGTTTGCAAGGGTTCATCCTACTTACCAGTGCGAGTAAAAAGATACTGCGTTGAAACTGGAGCGCTGTTAGGAAAGGTATCAAAATCTCTTGCGATACAACTTACCCGGCAGCCTTGACCTTGTGCAGCACATCAACCCAGAGCTCGGGAACAGGGATTCTCCAGTAGTGCATCTGTCAATGATCCAATCAGACTAGAGCTAATGGGCTGTAGACCATTGAATACACACCTCTCCAGACCAGATGAACAGACGTTCGCCATTGACCTTGAAACTGTAGTGGTCCCACTCAACCAAGTCAGTGAGGCCATTACTTCGAAGCGGCCATTGCGTAGTCTCTTGCGCACTTGTAAGAGCAGCAAGAGCCAATGGCAATGAGAGCGTCAAGCTCTTAAAGAATCCTTTCATGTTGTCCAATAGACTATCGACCTTGCAACAATGGTTGCTACGCGGTCAGAGAATCAGGGCATGGGACGATCTTATGATATTCTGCTCGTTCCTCAAGCCAAGCTATAATAACCTCCATGACATGCTTGCCTAACCGAAAACAGCATCTTGCTCGTGTGAATGCAGTCTTAGCACGGAAGAATGACACTTTACCCATAAGCATTCATGCGAGTCTGCAAGAAGAACGAGACGGAAAAATAGGTGCACGGTGATTGTGCAAAAAGTGGCGGGACCGCAAAGCAGGAAATGAGGGGAAAAGAGCGGATCGACATTGGTATAGACATGAGATCAATTTACCGAGCATGCGAGATGCTTCGAATACCGCATTCCGTGTATAATATCGCGATGTCATGGACCAAAAAAATGGCCTCGTAAGCACTCACCGCGGTGATCTTGTCCGTGTGACATTTGAAAGGCTTCCATTGAACAAGATGCGACCTAAATGTTGCTTAGGGCAAGCACGAAAGGTGGAAGAAGTGGAGGAGATGCATGTGGGGTTTTCTGCGGTCGAACCGAGGGTGGCTCGTGCACGAACGTCACCTGTCCTTGCTGAGTGAGGTGTTCATCTTACCTCCCGTGTGCGAATTACTGTCACACTTATAGCTATCTCAAGGCACGATACTTTTTCGACATGCAACGTTGTCGTCGAGACACTGCCAACGACTTCCTGCGCTAGGCTTGTTGATACGAGATAGGACTGTGCCTTTCTATAGCTCGTCGTCGCCCTGCTTTGATCATTGGGGAGAGAGGGTGTGACAGTATTTTGCACACGGGGAGGTAGGTCCTGTCCGATGAATCCAAAGGAAAACCGAGCGGTCAAAAAAACACCGCTTCATGAATTCAAAGAACAAGCGCAGAGTCAATAGGATGTTGAATCTCAATCAGTACTACGAGGCTGGAAACTCCTAAACAACGACACAGCTCTTGCCTGAACAATTTCGACACACCGAGATCTTTGACATCTCCAATGTAGATATGAATATTGACATTATGTTAGGTGTATAGCATAGAAATCGCGAGAGTATTTCGGACTGAAACAAGAAGAAGAAAGAAGAAATTCTAAAAGCGAAACCCAGCCTACAGACCAGAATCAATCTGGTTCACAACGGTAGTGTTTGTATAAGCCGACCAATCTCTGCAAGTTTGTGCCATGACATACGGGATTTCCATCTCGTTCACAACATAAGGGGTGTTGACGAGGAGGTTAATATTCATTCCTAGAGT